TGGGATCGAATCCCACATCGGGCTCCTTGCTCAGCAGGAGCCTGCTTCTCCCTCTCCTTCTGCCTGCTGCTCCCCCTGCTTGTGCTCTCTCGCTCTCTCTCTCTGACAAATAAATAAATAAAATCTTTGTCTGTACACCATCTGCCCAACATCAACTTTTCCACTGTCTTCTCACCATAAACTACAGCCATACCAAACCACAGGGTGCTCCTCAAGCATGCAACACTTTAATCTACCCTTTAGCATAGGAGAGTCCCCTTACTCCTGAACTCCTCCTTCACCTTCTCACAAAGTTCTTCAAGAGGAACATTAACTGTCACCTCTGTGAAGCCTTCCCTGATTCAATGAGGCCAATCAAGTCACATACTCCTACTATGCTGCCATTATACCTTATCCATACCTCCTTGAGGTCAGGGACCAAATTTTATTTGTCAGTATCCCCAATGCTTAGTACATGGGCTGGTAGTCCCTAAGTAAAATTTGGTTTAATTATAGAATGTGTGGCTCATTAACTCACAGAAAAAAATCAAGGAGCCCACATTAGTCTGCATATTCCTTCCACTGCCCCCCAACCTACATTTGCACTCATCCTTCCCTCCTGTCTCTAAGACAGAGCCATCTCCTTCCTTCCCAAGGCTCTAGAACCTACCACCCTAAGCCCTTACCATAAATTCAGTGACCCTTCACCTTTGGGTTTGCTCACTCTTTCTTCAAATATCAAACTCTCTTTACCCACAGTGTATTTCCTCACCTGAGCACATAAGCATGCACTTTAAAAAGCCCTTCCCAACATCCTGTAGCTGTGTTTATCTGCTCATTCATCCAATCTCCATCAATTCCTGGCCAACATTTTAGAAAGAGTTGTATACCTCCACCAACTGCACCACCTCACTGCCCACTTCTTCCTCAATCCATCATAAGTCAACCACAATCTTTCTACTCCTGTGATCTGCCCCCTGCTTAAAGCAGCCATAAACTCCATTTTACCAAATCTATGGGCTTATTTAAGGGCACACAGCATACTGGAAAGTTAGCTCAGTCTGGCTTGGTTTCCATGATGGTACTCTTTCCAGGTTCTTCCATTTATCCAAAACTTTCCTTCTCAGTACCCCTCTTCAGGTTCTCTTCTGCTAAAAGACCTTTCAATATTACTATCCAGAATTCTGACGCATCTGCCTTTGTTTCTCTCTTATTTTTCCTTTTTTTCATTGTATAGACTCAGAGTTTTAGGGGGCCAATAATTAACACCTCTTTTTTTTAGACGAAAAAAGAACAGAAAATGGAGATAAATGTCAGCTGATGAAGCAGATGGCTTTACATGTACAGCCAAAAAGGAGGGCTCCTATTGCATCCTTGAACCACAGGTCCTTACTCACCCAGCCAAGAGCCTGGCTGGACAACTGGCCCTGGGGGCTTGTAGACAGAAGCAAAGAATTCAAGGGGAACCTTCTTGCTGTACATCTGAAGCCATCTGCTTCCAAATACAAGGAGAATTACTGGCCAAGCTAGATTCATGAAGTTCCTGTTCCCAATTTGTTAACCAATGAGCCATTCTTCCCCAAGAGAAGAGGAAGAGGAAGGGAGGCCAATAGTATAAACAAGAGACCAGGGAAACTCCATATCCATTAAACAACAACAAAACTGACATTAATAACATTAATATGTTATATTCATCATGAACAGACCAGACATGACTTGTATGAAGATTCCCTTCAGCTGCCATGTGGAGAATCAGGCCAGGGGGCATAAAGTAAGATGATACAGGAAACCAGTTAGGAAAACGCTCAGCCAAGGGAGAGATGATAAGGCCACAAGCCTTGTTGTTTATAAAAGGTAAAGGTGAAGGGAAGTGGTAGCCAAGTCTCTTCTAAGATTTCAGGATTGGTCAACTGGGTGGATGGTAATGGTTCCAGATCGTGGAAAGAATAAGCTGAGAGACAGCAAGGAAGTTGGGGGGAGGTGCCATGCAGAGATATAATAAGGTCATTTGGGTAATGCTGAATGTAAAGTGCCTGTAGAGAATCTGGATAACAATGTCCAGTAGGCCATGGAGCAAACAGGTCTAGAGTGGAGTGAAGATTATACTGGAGGCTACAGAGTGGATGAGGTTGCCTAGAAAATGTCAGTTATTATTCAATCTCAATCTCCCTCTCTCTCTCATTCTCTGACAGTGCCATTTTATACATACAAATAACCCTCATCCTACTTGGGACCCCCATCCTGGGAGACCTTCCTGCTCCACATGTCAGAAATTAGCCAGGGCTTCTTACCTCCGGGTACATACACCTACTTCTATCACAGGCCCTATCCCAGCTACGTGCACCACAGGAAGCCCCTCAACACTGCTTCACACCCAGGGAGTCACCATCCCAACTCCACTCATGGGGCAGGAGTTTGAGCTCCTGGGTGTGTGAGTGCCAGGCACTGGCATGAACATGGGATAAATGTGGATCCCACTTGGGGCACCTGGGTGGCTCAGTTGGTTAAGTGCCTGACTCTTAGTTTCAACTCAGGTCATGATCTCATGGGTCATGAGATCGAGCCTCACATCGAGCTCCACATGCGGTGGGGAGTCTGCTTCAGGATTCTCTCCCTCTACCCCTCCCCCCCCAACACACACTCTCTCTGTCTCTCTGTCTCTCTCTCTAAAATAAATAAATAAATCTTTTTTAAAAAGTGGGTCCTACCTGGGTCATGGCCCCTGACAAAATTTCACCTCAGGCAGGCAGGGGGCCCAGCACAGCATAACCCTTACCTGGTGGCCTGGCTGTCCAGTTCCACAAGCTGCTCAGGTCTTCTGGGGCTGCTCTGTGGCTCTGGGGTCCTGGGGGCTGCAGGCTGCTGGGAGGGTACAGCTGGGTCTCCCTGGCCACCTCTCAGGGCTGTGGGCTTCTCCTGCCAGGTCTCTCCCACCTTGGCAGCCACATTCTTCTCTTCAGAACCAGCCAAGGTGCTGAGGAAGAATAAATATCCTTATGGAGCAAGTGCTTTGGGACCAGTCCTTCTTTACCCACTGCCTGCTGATGTTACCTCCTGTGGCCATAGTGGGCTCCTCTTCCAGAAGATGGGGAAGAGAAGAGCCCAGCATGGCCCCCACCACACGGAGACCAGTCTTTCTCGTCTTTGGGAGAATCCCAGTACCACTGCTCCCCCTCCCACTGACAAAAGCAGTCCCCACTCATACTAGAGAAAGCCTGAACCTCTGATGCTTTTACCATCCCCTGAATCTGGCAAGGAGAAAGTGGCTTCTCAGCTATCCCACACATCAAGCTCTTTGGGAGATCTTCCTCCCTGGCCTCATGCCACACCTACACTTGAACACCTTTCCCATCACCATCCCCATCTGAGGTGCTTCCAAGGGCCTTATTCTTTCTCCTGGTGCCTTCCCCATGACCTCTATATGTGATGGTGCTGCTACCTGGAGGCCTCAAAGATGTTATATGCCCACTAGGCCAAGGACACT